CTCACTTCTCAGGACCCTCTGCTGCTTCTGTCCATTGGGCTCTCCCTCCTATCGCCCCTTCTTTTCTCTTCCAAGACAAGTGCTCCACCCCTGAGCTGCATCACCGAAGTCCCTTCTGCCTGAAGTGCTCCTTGCCTTTCCACAGAGCATCTCCTCCTGCTGCAGCCCTTCCCTCAGGAGAAGTCACTCAAGGAATCTTCCCTGTGCCCCAGGTGGAGTCAGGAGCCTTCCCGGCCCCCACTCTAACCCCACTTTGCTGAGTTATAGCTCTGACCACGCTGGTGCTGATGTGCTTGCCTCTCCACATGGCCTCCCCTCACTCCACCCACAGAGCCTCTGCCTGCATTTGGTCATCCATTCCCAGGACAAACAGCTCCTGGCCTCTGAGCTGGGCCAGGCACCAGGCTAGAGATGAAGCTTAGGAGCAGGCATCTCTACCTTGGTGTCAACTCCCTGAGAGCAGGGACCACGGCCCACACTCTGTGGCGTTGCTGAAGTGAATCTGGACCTGGAAGGAGAGGTGCCCAGAGAAGTTCACGAACTGAGGTGTCTGGATTATGCTTGGGGCTTTCAGGGCCTGCAGCAGGCCATGTCTGCCCACCTGTCTCTGTGGTACATCCAGTGCCACCAGTTTCCAACACCTGGCCCTGGGCCCAACAGTGCAGGTGGAGAGAGGTGAGAGGTACCCACTCTAAGACCCCTGCCTCCTCAGGGCCAGGCATCCCCCTGCTACCTTGTCTTTGGGGGTCTGTTTCTTGATGACTTTGGCTGCCAGCTTGAGGCCTGTGGCTTTCTCCGTACAGGTACAGACTGCTCCAAATTTGCCCCTGGAGAGAGAAGTGGCTGGGAGTGAGGGGGTTCAGAAGGACAGAGGGGGCAGCAGAGTGCTGTGCTCTGTTCCTACCCTGCCCCAGCCCCCATAGTGACTCTGGTTCTCCTCTAGGAGGTGGGAGCACTCACCCCAGACAGCCCTGACTCACTCCCAAGTCCAGGAGCATTAAGGACAGGACTGGCTCGGTGGGTCAGGCAAAGCACATCCTCCTGGGAAGGACAGCCCTGGGATTCACCCTTACAGGCCTACGGGTCAAGCTGGGCCCTTAGGTCACCCTCAGGTGGTAGGGAGGGAGCAACCCGTTAGAGGTACCAGCTGGAGCCAGGGTTATCTACAAAGCACGAATCGCCCTGAGGTGTCACTGGGGTCTGAGACCAGAGACAGACAGAATACTGTTTCCTATGGGAATGGAGAGTGGCCTGTGTATCCCAGTGACAGTGCCCAGCAGCACATGGCAGCTGGTGCATGACCTGTGTGGAAGTGAACTCGTCCTGGTCCAGACCTGGAGGGTCCGGCCACAGGGCTGCGCGCTGTGCCGCCCCCTGCACTCCTTAGGGGTAAATCTCACCCTCCCAGCGCCTCCTTGGAGTTCAAGCTGAATTCACTGTTGACATTTCCAGACCGCAGCTCCACGACGCGGTGCGGGAAGGGGGCGGGCGGAGGGGGGCAGTCGTCTGGGGCAGAGCAGAGTCGCGGTCAGCGTCCATCTGCTGAGGAGTCCCTGCCTGCTTGCCCCACTCCCCGGGGAGGTTCAGTTTACCATTGATACCTCTAGACACCCGGCTGAGGGACCCAGTGTCAGAATTGAGTCCTCCCCCACCCCCAAACGGCCTTAGGTGACCTCTGTCCCTCTCCAAGGGACTGGGTTTCCAGCAGAACAATAAGGTCACTGATTGGACTTCTTGCCCCTCCACCTTTAGAAATGCGAGGATTCCATCCCACATTATCTTTGTTTCCATTAAAAAAACCCATCTGACAAAACAACCCAGGGCTGGTGAGATGGCTCAGTTGGGCTGGTGAGATGAATTTAAAAAAAACAAACAAACAAAACAACCCAAAGTGCACCCGTGCAATGAACGAATATTCTGCAGGTGGGTGGTGGGACCCGCCCACCCTGCTAGCCCGGCCGCGGAGGAGCCGTCTGCGGGGAGAGGCCGCCACCTAGCGGCCGTTTAGGGAACGACGGGCCCCGAAGGCCCACAGGCTGAGTCATGGGGAATGGAAATCTCTGTATAAATAGCCAGAGGCGACAGGGAAGCCGGACTGGTGATAAATCAGACGGCTCTTGGAGCTGGTTCCGGGCTCGTCAAGCCAGGATGTGATCTCAGGGCGGAGCGGAGGTCTCTGCCGCCGCTAGGGGCAGAAGGCAGGGCCCCTGGCTGCCGCCCAGCCGCCAGGTCCTCCCACCCAGTCTGGGTGGCACTGTGCCGCTCACCAGGCCAGGCCAGGCCAGCTGGCAGGTCTCCCAGAGCACCTCAGCCCGAAGGGGGGTGTCAGGACACTCCGGGCTCTCCTGACCCCATGTCACCCCCCTCCCCAGCTCTCTCCCTCCTCCACTGCTCCCCAAGCTCCCACAGGCTCGGTGCCCTGCTGCCCACCGGACGAGCCCCATTGACCCCACAGGGCTTTGGCCAAGCTCCCATGGCGGCCGCTCTACAGCGCTGGCTCATCGCTCGTGTCCAGCCGCCTTGGTCACTGACCCACACGGGCACCTGTGCTCCTCAGCTCATGCACACCGTGACTTGCTCTCCCAGGATGTAGTTTGAACCTCTGAGCCTTTTGCATTTGAGGCTTGGTACAGATCGTCCCCCAGTTCCACTGTCCAGTAAGTTGCTGTTGCTTCAACATTCTGGCCGATTTTAAGTGGTTGGTTGGTTGGTTGGCTGAACCCTATTTTAATCCCCCCCCCAAAAAAAATAAGTGGACTCTGGCGCCAGTCCATCTTCACTGTGTTTTGGGGTACTTAATGTCTCTTTTTCTGCATCTAGCAAAAGGAAATACTTCCTGGTGTGTGAATTTAGACAAATGACCTGGATGAAGCCTGGCCTGGACTCAGTACTCCCTGAATGGGCACATTTGGGATTAATTGGGCCCCTCCCCCCACTTCGGGCAGCCCAGCCCCCTCCAGCCCCGCCTACCCAGAATCTGGAAGCAATCCTCCTCCCTGGCTGCCAGACCGAGGGCCTGCCCCACCTCTGAGCTCTCCGAGGGCACAGCCTGGAACTTGATCCCCCTCGAGGTGTCCCCTTGCGCCTTATCCTGGCTGGCTTGACTGGGGGCTTTCTCTCCTGCTTCCTTCTGGCTCCCTGCCACGATGTTCTTCTCCCCTGCCTTGGCTGGCCCAGGATCTGGGGGCCCAGGAGTGACAGGTATCCCTTCAAAGATGAGCTCTGAGGCCTCGCTGAGGGGCTTTGTGACCAGCTGCTTCTCAGAGCTAGAAGGTAAGAAGAGAGGTAAGGCCTCCGCAGCCACCCCTACACCCCAGCCCCACCACCACCCCCGGGGCCTCTGAGGCATGGCTTGGTGCTTCCGGACCTCATCTGCACCCTACAACCTGCAGTGGTCCAACTCTGTCCACAGTCCCCAGATTGACTTGTACCCATGGATGGCTACAGTCTTCACAGTGACTATGGGCACACTCACAGATCATTACTGATAGCAAGATGGTTGAAAGGGTTCATCAACATGCAGCTACAATAAGGAAATCACATAACTCTTGAATCATAAAAGCTGTGGGGGTGTAATTGGTATTAACACATAATTATCAAATTGATACTGATGCCTTATAGTTTATACTCTGTCCTTAAGCCCTCATTAGCATTCGAATGTGCATATCTGATCACATAAGACTAGTGCTGTTATGACTATGGAAGCCTTGGCAACGATCTACCAATCCATCAGTCATCTTTTCACACTATGGCAATAATTATATTAAAATCCTTTCCTCCTGACATCTCAGCCCCACCCTTGGCTAGCGCCAAGCTCAGGGAACAAGGGGAACTGTGTGCCCAAATGCCTAGCTAGAGAGGAGAAGCCCATCTATGGTGGCCTTTGGAGATATCTCCTGTCTGACATTCCAGGCCTCTGTGAATGGTGTTGGTCAAGTCCTGGGTTCTGCAGGGACAAGGTGGCAAAGCCAACACCTGGAACAGAGGGAGCTAAGGTTCAGCGCTACCTTCCCCAGCACTGAATGGGAAACCAAAGTATTTAACAGAGGAACTAAGTATGTTCCTGTGGGAAGAGAACCACAAGACACAGGGGCATTCACCTTGAGAGGATGGCGGGGCAGCTGGGGCTGTGCAGAAAGGCAGGAGAGCCCCTCCTGGCTGCAGCTTGATCACCTACCACCTTCTTGCCCACCTTGGGCTCTCCGGGTGCTCTGCTGCCCAAGGGTCCCTGCTCAGCACTGGGCTTCATCGCACTGGCCTCAGCTGTCTCAGTCGGCTGAGGCTGGGCTGCTGGCTGCCCAGCATTGCCCTCTGCAGGCCCCCCACCCTGGTCAGCTTCTGCCTCGGGGCCCTGGCTGTTGGTTGAGGGCTGAACTGGGACACCATCCCCTTTTTCTGGGGCAGGGGTTTCAGCATCTTTCTTCAGGGTGGATGGGTCAGGATCTTTCTTGGGGCCCGGGGAGCTGGAGTGTTTCTCTGCAGCCAGAGGTCCTTCATCTGTAGCACTGCTAGGAGCCTTGTCTGTGAGGAGGGAGATGTCTGTTAGGATTCACCCACCCTCACCCTCCCCCAGCCGGGCTGGACAGAGACCAGGCAACAGCTTGCACATTTGTGCAAAGGAGCCGCTTGGTGGGCCCCTGAGATGGGTGCCAGGACTGTGGTGGCCTCTGTGGGAAGGTCTGGCCCACAGGGTGGGTCTTGCTTCCCTCCCCTCCACTCTGTGCCCAGAGTATCTAGGTGCATTTCCAGTAGCCATCACAGAGGCTTCCTGCCTCCCAGTCTCTCCAGGAAGGACTTCATGCAGGCCTTGGACCCAACCTACCCCTACCTGGAGATCATTCTGATTCCTGAGTTCCCCGTGCACCATGCAAAGAAACCTTGGGCGCAGAACTCTCTCTGAGGAACCTGCCCAAGCCTGAGGCCAAACACCCCTTCCCAAGCTCCTCCCTCCAGCTCCTGCCCCAGCCTAGCACCTGTTGAGTTCTGCATTCCCAGCTCGACTGCTCCATTTTCTGTCGCCATGAGGTAGGAGGCGTGCGCTTCTGTTTGTCTAACTCAAGTCTTTCTGGCTGCACAAAGAGAGGTACGTTGGGCGCTGGGTTGCCTTGTCTGGCTGTGGCAAGAGGAGGCCCAGACCAGCGGATGGCAGGGAGAGACATACCTAGAGCAGAGAGGGTCCACCTCTGGCGCTTGTCTCGCAGCGGCTACTCAGGAGCAGTCCCGGGGCAGTTGTAAGAGATTGGGCTGGGTGGGCAGGGGCAGAGGCAGGGGTGCGGGTAACGGAGGCGGGGACGGAGAGGAGGATCTCTTACACCAGGGGCCATGCAGCTTCGGCTGCCACCACCTGTCACTCTTGGCCCCTGTTCAGAGGACACAGAATTCTTCCCACGGCCTAACGGGTGGAATGGTGTTGGAACAAGCAGGAAGAGAAAAAAAGAAAGGGGTACCTGGGGCCCTGGGGAAGCAGCCCTCTCCCCAGGCCTCTCCCAGGACCCCCAACTTGGATGGGATCAGACGTGCCTGAAAGGAGAGGGGGCCTTTGGGTAGAGCTGAAGGGCGAGACCATGCCCGGGCCGGCCTTGGCTCTGCCCACCTGCGTGCCACAACTCCTAGGGTTTCCCAGAACTGGGAGGTCCGCACAGGCCTAGGAATAATCACCCTGAGCCCGGGCCCAGCCCTGTGCCTTTGGCGCCTGGACCTACTTGGACCATCTCTGGGTAAGAAACTGTCTCAGGGCACTTGTTTAATATGTCTACAAAACCAGAAGCTTTTTCTTTGGAAAATCTTCTCAGGCTCCTGGGCCATGGCCAGTGCCCGCATCAGCCCCTGTCCTCTCTGGCCCAGCTCAGAGGGAGTGGCTAGTGGAGGGGCTTTGCTAGACTCCCTCACGATGATGGAGACCCCAGCCCCAGGAGTTGGAGCCACGTGGGGATGAAAGCGCAGTGCTCCGAGCACCTTCCGGCACCGGGGCTGCTTGCCCGGCCTTTCCCTAGGGCCCTGGAGAAGTGGCCAGTGCTGAGGGCTTTGGGAAAAGCAGCAGAGTGCGTGTTAGGGTTTGAGCCCTGGCTGGCAAGTCACCCAGTCACCCCGCTGGGCTTCTCCATCGGATGATGAAAATGCCCAGTTGCTGCCCTTACACAGGAGAAGACAGCGAGAACCCAGCACTGCCATGCATGGGAAGTCCACAGCTGCCCAGAGGCTGGAGGGGCTCAGAAGAAGCAACCTCCTACGCAGATGGGACCGGGTGGGTAACATATACTTTGTCACTTTATAATCCTAAAATTTTCTTTGGCAGAATAGGCAAAAAACTGGGGACCAAGGGTAGGAGGGAAATGTCAGTGTGACCTTTTACTATGCATTATTTGTCCAAATGAATAACTTTTTAAGGCAAGTAGAAGTTAAAGTTTTTGATACAAGTTAGCAAAAACTGGAGCTGGAGCCCCCTCCCCAGTCTTGCAGGCATTGGTGTTGGTGTCATCAGACCCTCCCCTGTAGGCCCAGCCCCCCTACCCCGTTTCCCTTGTGTGGTCCAGTTGACAGCCTGCCTCTTCCAGGAAGCAAAAATAACTAATGCCTATATAGCACTCCCCAGTGCCAGGCCTCCCTCTCACACCCTATCTAATCACTGCAGAAGATTCACTCCTGCAGTCTTTGTTAACATCCCAGCGAGGTGGGGGGCCTTAGAGATGGGAAACTGAGGTAGAGGAGGAAGTGGCTTGCACGAAGGCCTACGGGCTGGAAGAGGCTGAGCTGGTCTTTGAACCTCAGCTCCCCTGAGGGAAGGGAGTTCTCATTGCCTCAGCGGCACTACTCGCTTTATCCAGCTTGTCTTTACACATCCCCTTGTTAATAACTGTGGGCAGCATCCATCCCACAGTTGGGGATGGGGACAAGGAGAATTAGGGGATAGCTTGCCTTATGATGCTCAGCAAAGGGAGGTATGGGGGTACAGCCAGTGGTAGAGCACTTGAGCACATGAGCCCCAGGGTTCCAGAACCTCCCCAGCACTGCACCGCGTGCAAGCACACACACACACACACACACACCCCACAGAAACATATTCCAAAGTCCTCTTTTCTCCCTGAAGTTTCCAGGTCTGGTTACCCACTATGCAGATCTCAGTATTTTTAAGGTTGAAATGCCTCTGTCCACACCTACAATTGGGACCTCTTGGCCCTCTCTTGAGTTGTCCCACAGCTTTCTCTAGTCTGGCCTCAAAGTTTGAACACCCTCTTGCTGGCCTCCTTCAGTGCCCCAGGCCAAACCACTGCGACAGTCTGGGCAGGGTAGTGCAGTGCGCATGGGTGTCCCCAGCACAAAGTGTGCCTGCCAGTCTGTCTCTGATGAGTAGACTGGTTCTTGGGGTTACTCTACCCTCATGGCTTTGTTGACACCCCTCGCATGCTTGTACGTTCAAGCATGTCGGCACACACCTATAATCCCAGCACTCAGGAAGCTGAGGCAGGAGGATTGCTGCCAGTTCAAGGCCAGCCTAAACTACATAGTGAGTCAAGATCATCCTGAACTACAAGGCAAGACACTGTCTCAAAAAACAAACAAGTAGGGGCTGGGGAGATAGCTCAGTAGAATAAGCGCTGCCTGGCAAGCGCAAGGGCCTGAGTTCAATCCCCGGTTCCACCAAAAAAAAAAAAAAAACCCAGTCAGGTGCTGCGTGCCCACCAAGGGCTTGGTCCCAACATGCCAAGGGCTTTACCCTGCTCCCTAGATCTTCACAAGTCAAGTGATAAAGCATTTTAAAGATGTAGAGAAGTGGGATGTGGTGGCACATGCCTGTAATGCCAACACACCAGAGGCTGAGGCAGGATTGCTGCAAGTTCAAGGCCAACCTGGGCTACATAGTGAGGCCCTGTCTAAAAAATAAAAATAAGGTTTTTTTAAAAGATGCAGACTGATACTCAGAGGAAATAAATGGCTTGTACCCAAAGTCACCTAGCTTAGCTATTCAGACTCAAAGCCACAGCAACTTCTTAATGAGACCAAAAGCCAGGTTAGGACAGTTTAATTTGCTGCTTGTTACTGGTATAATTCCCAAGTAAAAATACTTACTGAGCTCCTTCTAGAAGAGCCCAAGACCCGGGATAAACAACTGAGAGTCCTTTTAATCCCGCTAATGACACCACTGTGAAGTGGGTAGGAGCTGTCAGTGGAGCTCCACAACCAATAATTGTGAGCTTCAACAAATGCCTTCACTTGTTATCTGTCTGCAGGACCAGCAACTGCCCCAGGAGGTACATACAGCATTTAGAGCAGTATGGGAGTGAACTGTGCAAATGTCAGCCATTCCATCGCCCTTTTGCAGGTATGGCAGGAAAACTGAAGCATGGGTAGCATTGCAGTGCTGGGATTGGAACCACCTAACTGAAGCCTTGGCTTGTAACTGTTGCCTCCTACACAGAGTGGCTGGGGATAAGTAGCCAGCACATGTATGTTGAGAGCTTGGCACGGTATGTCAGGTTCTGGGGCTTGATAATGGTGTGGGCAGCCGAGGTAGAAGACTCAGCGATCCGTGCCTGTTCCGCCATGCCTTCTGCTAGGATGGCAGGCTGGCCTGGTTCCAGATCTGTGGGGTGGCCGACCTACTGAGACAGCTGCTCCCTGGGAGTCCCCAGGCTGCTTCTCAGAGGTCTCCGGGAGGCACAAGCGAGGAGCATAGGGAAGCCTCCTCCACCCAGCTAATGATTGCCAGAGCCCCCGCCCACCCTTACAAGAAGGGGCTTCCCTGCCCTATAGCAATTGCAGATACCCTCTGCCTCGCCAGGGGCAGGATAGGAAACGGGCAACGCCAGGACCAATTAAACTCACCCGGGGAATTAAGGTCAGCAGGATGAAATTATGCCTGTTGGATTTAACAAGGCCAGAGGGGAGGCTTCTCCAGCCAGAGTTTGCGGCTCCTTAGGCCTGTTGCCCTGAGTATCTTTGCCTTCCAGGAGCCAGGAACCCAGGCTGTCTCTAGAACTCACTGGGAATGGAGGAGTTAATTCTATGCAGGCACCGCTTCTTGGGTTTCTAAGAGAAAACTGGTCCAGCCAAAGGCTTTAAAAGGACCTTCTTGAAGAGACATTCTCCGCCTGACCCTTTCCCTGCTCCGCTGTGATGGAAAATCCAAGGAGTTGAGCAATAACCTCTCTGACTCCAAAGAGAGCAGCCAACTCCCCTCGTAACCTCCACCCTGGGCCTGACTTGAGTCACTCAGAGCTGTCAAGAGCAAGTTGTTTTCTCTCACCCTCTCCCATGTCCGGCCTCCGAGCCCAGCCTTGATAGTACCTTCCCTCCCCAGGCTCATGAATAGTCTTAGGTTGCTGTCACTATGACAGCACTCGTTCATATGGCTAAAGCTGGCGACTAGAGATCTATGGGCATTTCATGCTGCAAAAAGGATACAGATTTTTCTGGAATGCTGACACACTGTCCTGCCCCAGAACTGTAGGATTTTATGGCTAAGATAATTGAATGTTCAACTCTGTGGCAGGGTCTATGCCAGGGGATGAAGTGGGCGGAGGGCCATAGAATGTACATATATTGCATTTTAGGTGAAAAAAAGAATTGTAAAACTCGCCCATGGAATAAAATCTTGCTATAAAATAGAAGACATCTGGGATAAACAGACACATCTTATCAGGTGTGAGAATGGAGATGATTTTTATTCTTTCATTTGTTTGGACTTAATTCTTTTAAAAAATGAACATTTGTAACAATGATCATATCAAGAAGTCAAAACACATGGGAAACTCAAGGCAGCATGTAGGAAAAGCAATCTTAAGATTGGAAGCATGGTGGGATTTCAGAAGCAGGGCCTTTGGAACTGATGCTCCAGGGTGACTTAGTGGCTCAAAGTGTAGTTGGAACCTCAGATCGCTCCCAACTCCACCCCCTTGGGCTCTCAGCAGGGCCTGAGGCCCCGGAGTTTAGCATGATGGTTGCTGAGAACAGGGCTCCAGGAATTGTCCTTCTGAGCAGCATTCTGGGTGATGTTCATGTATGTGCAAGCTTGAAAACTTCCAAGTCAGAGGCCTGTGGCCTGGATAACAGGGCAAGAGCCACGAGGGAGGGTGGGCTTTGAGGCGTCAGTGTCTCATCCTGATCAGTGTTTTAGCACAGCCAGCTTACGACAACTGTCCCTACAGCCTAGGGTGGCGCTCCTCAGCCTGGAGCCAGATGCACGGTCACTGACAAATACCTGGAGAGTTTTCACAGCCAACAAATCTGGGCTCCTGGAGATGAGCACAGGATGATGGTGTTTTTGTTTTTGTTTTTTTTAAAAAAAAAAAAAAAAAAAAAAACTCCCCTAGAAGAGTAAGGGTGCAGGCTGCGTGGGAGTTACGATAAAGTGGTACATGTGGTAGGTATGTCTTGTGACTGGTGCCAACTACCTGCACTCTCCCAATGTGTCTCTTTGTGCCCAGATGCCAGCTCAGAACACACAGGGCTTCTCATTCAATCCATATCTCCAGCAGGCACCTAGTCCAATACATGGTGCCACTGTGGTTGATAGTAATACTGCTACGTACCGGGGATCAAACTCAGGACCTTGCACTTGCCAGGCAGGCGCTTATGTCACTAACCTATATCTCTGACCCTGTACTATGCATTTACCATGTGCCAAACACAGGTATAACTTTTTTTAAATTTCAGGACAGGGTATACAGAGTCTCACTGCGCAGATCAGACTCGTAGTGATCCTATTTACAGCCTCCCAAGGGCTAGGATTACAGGCTCACGCCACCATGCCCAGTCTCAATCGCTGTCTCGGAAGGCCCCAGGGTGAGGCTGGCACAGCAGGCCCAAGGATTGAGGATTGAACTCCTGGCCCTACTGAACTCCTAAGCAGACGCTTTAATCTGCTGAGCTATTTGTAACTCCTTTAGTCTTAGTGGCAGACACCCAAGAAGAAACTGAGAAATACAGAAGGAAACTGTTGTGGAGGTAAATGGTAAGGCCAGAATTTGAATCGTCATCTAGCTTCATACCATGAAAGAAATGCAGAATGAAAAATACATTCTATGCAGTACTACTAGGATTGAACATAGGGTCTCTTTGCATTGAGCTAGAAACCTAGGTATGCATACATATGTATTTTGAGAGGATCTTCCCAAATTGCCATGCTGCGCTTGAACTTGTGATCCCCCGTCTCCAGCCACTCAAGAATCGTGGGATTCCAGGCATATGCCACTGTGCCTGACTGAAAAATAAATTTGAAAGTGAAGCATATTTAGGGGCTAGGGGGCAGCTCAACAGAAGAACACTTGCTTAGCATGTGTGAGGCCAAGGTTCTGGTTCCCAGCACCTTTAAAAGACAAAAATTAGATTGCATCAATTTTCTTGTTCCAAGGCTTGACATTCAGTAGGAGAGAATAAATGGTTCTACTTTGGTAGTGCTCTGCGACAAGGGGAACCCACAACTAGTCCCTCCTTCACCCCTCCTTCTCTCCCTCCCTAGCCCAACTTCTGCAGCATAAACAGCAAAGCTAAAAATAGCCACCTAATGACGTCAGAGGAACAAGGTCATCTGAACATTGCCACAGCCACTGGACACCTCCCTATAGGATCAAATAGCAGAAGGGTACCCCAGGCTGGGGCAGCTGTTCCAAGAACAGGAAATGTCCCAGGAGCAGACATGCTGCCATGTGCAAGCAGAGGCAGCGGGGGGCAACACGGACGCATATCTGAGAGTACAAGCAAGATGGAGAGCAGAGTGCAGCCCCCAATTAGGAGTCACCCGACTTTCTCTGCACTAGAAGTCATTCCCATCATGCTATCCCAGCAAACGGTTCAAGAAACCGAGTGTGCGTCGTCCTCTTGCACAGCACAGCCTCCGTGCCTGCCATTGTGCTATTTTTAAAGTCTAGGTGTGCTTGCTAAACTGGGTTACCGTAAGAACTTGGGGGTGCACAGCAGCTGCGGGGCTGCTGCAGAGGGCTCTGCCGGGACTGTGGGGCTGGGGAAGCTCCTCCTGGCTGCGGCTGCTTGGCGCCTTGGCCATCACCCTGGCCCGCAGAGACATGTGGCTTCATGGACTGGCAGCTGCCACATCCCTGCCAGGAAACTCTGCATCCGCCGGGTCTGAGGAGATGCCTGGCCTGGCAAACGGCAGGTGAAAGTGCGTGTGGAGCTGCTCCGCAGCCCCAGGGAAGCTGGGCTGCGGGTGCTGCCCCAGGGGCTCCAGCCCACTCAAATGAACCGGCAGTGTCCTAGAGCCATACCCCTACCGCTGGCTCTGCCCAGGCCATGCAAGCTGGGGTGATAGGGCATCCAGGAACAGACAGACCTGGGCCCAAATTCTGATTTCAGCAGATGACTTTGGGTAAAGGAATGTCAAGCCTCAGTTTCCTCATGTCATAGGACTTGTTGGAAGGATATATGGAAAACCATTCTTCCTCTTGGACAGCAGATAAATAGGAACAGACTTCACAAGGTGACTCCCCAGGGAGCCAGGCCAGGGAGGAAAGTGCTCTCACTCTGGGGTGGGCTCCTCACTACCCTGGTCACAGGAGAGAGCTGCTAGCTCCTGGGCCCACAGGAACCTGAGTCAGGGGTTACAGCTCCCTCTTCTGGCACAGAGGTCGGTACACTTAGGCAAGGATCGTGGTCCCCATAGAGGACCTGTTAAAACCCGTGTTACATGGGCTGTGGAAAAGCTCATGGGTCTAAGCACCTGCCTGGCAAGCACAAGGACCCAGGTTCCATCCCTGGAGCCTTGGGCGCACAGTGCCGGCCCTGAAACTGGGCATGGTGGTAAACCTGTAATCCCAGCCCTATGGAGGCTGAGACAGGAGAATCACTATGAGTCTGAGCTGCATAGTGAGACCCTGTATCCCAAGTAAAAGACAAAAACAAAAAGAACCCATGTCTCAGGGCTCTACAGGGAGTCGTCATGGTCACAGTCAGTCAGCTGTGGGCAGTGTTTGTTTGCCGGTGGTCCACTGAACACACTGCCAACCACTGTTCTCCATAAAAGTCCCCCAAAGCCCAAGAGGCTGAGCTTCCTGATCCTACCCAATTCTGAGGTCTCTGGGCAGTGCGCAACAGCATTTTGGAGCATGTGTTAGGAAAACATGGAAACACCCACATCCAGTTGTGTGGGAAGCAAGAGATGTGCAAAGCTGTCATTCAGTGAAGGGGCCACTGACTCGCCTTGGCAGCTCTGCCTGGCCACTGCTTGCTGTGTTACATCCGGTGCTGCTGTTCCACTGCTGCAGTACAAACTGCCAGAGAAAACAGCCAGTGAGCAAATAATACAGCCCCAAACGGGGGGTAAGTAGTTCAGGGAGCCTGCAGAGCAAACATCAACAAGGGAGAGCGAGATTTCCACAAGCTCAACTCCAATCTAGCCCCTGCTTCTCCTGCCTGCACAAAGTCCCATGAGCCTCCTCACCTGCAGTCTCCGTCACTGGCAAGTAGCAGCTGGGACCATGTCCTCTCAGGTGATAAGCTGAGTAACCAATGGGGGCTTCTGGCCAGCCCCATTACCACATGCCCGCTGTTCACATGTGACTCCAGCAGAGCCACACTGTGTCACACCAGCCAACATCATCACTGCAGGAGACTCCACTGAGCTACAACAAGGGTCCTCTCCAAAACTACTACTCTAGCTTTAAAGTGAGGAGCCTGAGACCCAGAGAACTCAAATGGTTCAAGGCCACAGAGCCAGAAGCAGCTGTGCCAATTCCCAGCCCAGGCCTTATTCCACGAAATAATCGTTCCTCTTGAACTTGATCCAAACTATCCAAAAGCTGTCCAGTTCTTGGCCATGAACACTTTAAGAACTGAACTACAATGGAAAAAACAGAAAAGGAACAAGGTGAGATATCAGCTTTACTGTGACATCCTTAAACTGCCCTTAGAAGAACCACTTAGAAGAAGAAGTCACACCTGCGGGGAATCTCATCTTGGACGGGGAATCTCATCTTGGAAGGGGAATCTCATCTTGGACGGGGAGGGGGTGACTTCTTTGGAATAGTCCCTAAGAATCCACTGGATATTCTGTGCAGTCTTCAAATAGTACCAAGGTCAAGAGAAACAGCAGAAACTATGTGTGTGTCAGAGGACAACATTATTCAGGGATTAGCCCCCTGGAGTGCTCTGGGCTGGATGTCTGCGTCCAGAACCACCCTTGGAAAGCCCTCAACGAGGCGGCACACTGGTGTCCAGCATTCCTTGCTGCTGTTCACACGGCAAAGCAGGGGACTCACCAGCAGTGCCCTGATGAAGTGACTGAGTGGCCGGTTGTGGGAGAAATAGAACAGGAAAGGAGGGCTGGTGGGGCTTAAACAAATGGACTAGCAAAAAATCCGTGAACATTTAAGGTAAAGGGAGCCTTCCTGCTCTAGCTCAGTGTGTGCTTCATCAGCACATATGCTAAATAATTGTTCTAGAGACAGATGTGGAAACTGAAGTAAAGAAAGGTGGAATAATTTGTGAAATACCACCCAGCTTTTCAGAGACAAGAAGAGATAATCCCTGTCCCCTGCTCTTCCCAACAGACGCATCACAACTCCTGGTAAATGGGACAAAGTACTTCTTTCTTTCAAATCTAATCCAAAGGCTTGAAGACAACAAATCTGCCCTGAAAGTCTACTAGAAAATGTAGAGTTGCAAGACTTTAAAATAATGGAACTACCGGGCCAGCCAAATAGCTCAGCAGATTAAAGCGCCTGCAAGCAGGCACAGGGGCTGGGTTCAATCCCCGGGGCCTACTGTGCCAGCCCCGCCCCCAGAGTGCGCTGAGACAGCAATTGAGACTGGGTGTGGTACCACACACCTGTAATCCCAGCTCTTGGGAGGCTGTAAACAGGTGGATCACTACAAGTCCAATTTAGTAGTGAGACCCTGAACACCCTGTAGACCCCTCCCTAAAATATAAAACAACAAAAATAAATAAATAAAATTTCTCCAAAAAGACTTCACTAAACAATCTTTTTTTTTCCACTGAGCACGGGTACCAGCGATACTGACATCACACCAGCCAAGGGGAGCTTTTCCATCCTGCTAGTGTGACAATAATGTTATGAATTACACTTTGGGAGAAACATTTCCTTCTGATTTGTATTTCCATTACAAAGACTGAATGGTTAAGGTACAGAGTTCAGATACATATGTGACACACTAGAAGGAAGTGAATGCAGACAATTCTGTCCTATAAATAGAGGCCAGAACAACCCTTTGCAAAACAACATTTTCACTGGGGAGAAGCAATGGAACAATAAACAGTACACCCCTGAAGCCCAGTATGCTACTGCATACAGGAAAAACCCATGTGCTAAGTGAAGGCTGTATAACAAAGTATAACAGAAAAGTCATACAAGGTCAAAACATACAGTGAAGTTTTAAAATGTATTACAGCAAAAGGCACATTCTCATCAATGCCCCCCAAGACACGTGCCTCACTTGGAACACAGAGCCCACTGCTCTTGCCACCCTCTGAAACAGCTCTGCAAGTCCTCTTCTGTGTCTTTACAAGGTGTAACACAGATGGGGGAATGCTGGTACCCAGTACCCTGCAACAGATGGACAACTCGGAAAAACATTAACATGCGTGTCCGGGTCCACCTTACTAGCCGGATCCAGCATCATGCACCTTTACATCTTTTCCAAAGTCAAAACGACCATGAAAGGCCAAAGTTTTGAATACATCATTGAATACAATAAGGGAACAGCAACAGTGCCACTAAAAACAACAAAAGCAATTCTAAAACTGTTTCAGAAAAGTGGCAAGAGGGCCGGCAAGATAGCTCAGTGGACTAAGCACCTGCTTTGGCAAGCACAGGGACCAGGGTTCGATCCCAGCCCACAGACCACACTGAGCCTACCCCCTTGGCACACTGAGCTGGCAACTGAGTCCTACCCGTAAGCCCAGCACTAGGGAGGCTGAAAACAGAAGGATCACTATGAGTCCAAGATGCACAGTGAGACCAAATACTAAAATGAAAAAAAAAAAAGGAAGTGTCAAGAATGAGCAGTAAATGTATTCAAAACAAAGTGTTCTAAGAGGAGTTAACAATTCATCACTTATTACAATAATTCATTTTAAAGACTTAAACATTTGCCATATTTTTCAATCATACCTCATACAATACATTAAAAAGGATCAAGTTTTACCTAAAAGAACAAGCACAGATTGTCTGTGTAATCCAGTGAGCGCACATGCCCGTGACAGGAGATGGTCAGGTGGGCCTAAGGTGCCTCCTCAGCTCTTCTCTACACTATGAGGGAGGCACTGCCATCTACTCCTGTCACCCCTGCTCCTCAAGGAGGGGCCAAGAACACTGTCAACACCACAGCAAGTAGGGCCCTGGCAGTATTAGTGTGTCGTGGTTCTCAGCATGTCTACACATCACCTGCAACCTGGGAGAGCAGTCCTGGAACTATGTGGGTCTCTGCAGATAGACAGGCCAGGCTTTTATTTCCTCTCTGTCCAATAAAAACTTTTTTTTCTTTTTTTAAAGGGAAGAGGGCAATTGATGCATTCAGGTCAAGCTTACTTTGGTGAAATCATTCTTTCCTAACAAAACTTAGCATTTCTTTTAGCTGCTTACACCTGACCCTCTAACTAAGAGTTCTGCAAGTGACATGTCAGCACTGGCAGAGGCCTTCCAGGAAAGTGATACCTTAGTGCACAGAAATGCGCTTTGGCCTGAGCCTGGCCTTTTATTCTCCTACCAGAGAGAATAACAAAACCTCCAGACTGTTTCCAATGTCACCAACTGTTCCCACAGCACTAGGAAACAAAGTAGTTATGCAAGAAGACAAAGAAAACAAAAGGGAAGTATGCTTTTGTCCCCAGGCTTCTCTTTTGTAGCGACTACACTGGCTTTAGCTAGATAACAAATTGTCCTGGCATTCCTGGCATTGGCGCAAACACTCAGTTCCCTGGTTACGACTTCGTCACTGCTCTAACTGCCATACACTCAACCTTCCTGCTCTTTCCCTAGGCCTGGGCTTGCACTGTCTCCAGGAAACTTTATATGTTCTCTGAGTATTGCAGCGGGCTGCAAGGTGGAAGGGAGCTCAGGATTCAGAATGTCAACTAATTGCTATCTGGATCCACACCACCAAGCTGAAACTCCGCCTGCTTGTGCAGAAACAGGAGCCCAGCCCCGTGGCTCACAGCTTTTTTAACTGCTTGTCTCAGCCTTGAAGAATTCCCCCAGCAAACCAGCTTCCAGGAGATGGCCTTTTTCAAGGAATCCCAAAGGAAAGGGTGTTAGGATTTATCACAGGGCACACACATTCAACCAGACACTCCAGCCTTAAGCAAGCCCATCAACATCTAGACAAACACCCAAGACTGGCGTGGTGGCGCGCGCCTGTAATCCCAGATCTTGGGAGGCTGTAAACAGGCGGATCACTATAAGTCTGATCTAGTAGTAAGACCCTAAACACCCTGTAGAACCTTCCCTAAAAATAAAAAAAAAAAAAAACAAATACCCAACTGAATAAATACCTTTAGAATTTTACTTAAAAAAAAAAAAAAAAAAACCCTCACCTTTATGAATTTCAACCTCACTCCCAATAAGAACCCTGAACTCGCACAGCACTGCTTACAGTACTAAGCTCTATCCTATCCTGTGTTAATAATTCTATGACCAGTTCTCAACTCTGTTAGATGCTGGAGCAACTACTACTGCACTCTGTCTACCACACTGGCTTTGCTTTCCAGGGGCCAAACTCCTCAGCAAAGAGCTGGTAGGGCATAAAACAGCAACCAAACTAGCCATTTGATAGTACACAAGGGCATCTGACACACCCCCGTGATCCTGTAATTTACACATCTGTAAATTTGCACTACCAAGGCAGGAGGATTATTCTGAGTTCAAGGCCAGCCTGGGCTGCAAGTTCAAAGCCAGCCTCAACACAGTGAGAACTTGTCTCAAATAAAAGCAACCAAAGACACAAAAAAATCAAACCTAAGAAATTACACGAGGAAAAAGTGATTAATCGGAGAGTGAAAATAATCTTAAATTCACACAAAGTATGAGCAATGGAAAATCATGACCAAGCCAAAACGCTTCTGAAGATTGCCTTTCTCAGAAACTGCAGGAACTCCAACAATCTAGGAACTTTGCAAAACTACCAAGCAGAGCGTGGCAGTCAGATTTCTTAGTAGAACTCAGTCAATTCTTATCTCAAGACATTGAATTTGTTTATGAAAATACCTTAGTATGAAAAGATGAAGTTCCTTCTAGAACTTGGCCTAAAGGGACAAAGAACATGAATTTATCTATAAAAGTAGACAGTTTGAGTTTCTAAAGGAAAAAAGTAAGTAATGGTGAGAACATCCAGCAAGAGTCAATGCCAGATATGAGTTTGCACTAACAAAGATTTTTTGGTTTTGTTTTTGTATTTTAGGGAAGGGTCTACAGGGTGTTCAGGGTCTCCCTACGAGATCAAACTTGTAGTGATCTGCCTGTTTACAGGCTTCCCAAGAGCTGGGATTACAGACGCATGACACCACACCCAGTCTCAATCACCATCTCAGTGAGCCCCAGAGGCAGGGCCAGCCCGGCAGGCCAGAGGACTGAACTCCCAGCCCCTGCGCCTGCTTGCAGGCACTTTAATCTGCTGAGTTATTTAACCAGCCCTGTGCTAACAAAACAGTTAACCATTCAGTTTTAAGTTTTTTTGTTCTGTGAGCAAAAAAACATGGGTGAGCCAGAGAGATAGCTCAGCAGCATAAGTGCCTGCCTGGCAACAGCAAGGTCCCAAGTTCAATCCCCAGTACCACAAAAAAAAAAATAAAATAAATAAATAAATAAATAAAAATGGGTGAATGCTGCTTGCTTTGTGTTAGCCAATGGAAAGGCAAGGATCTTCAGTACGAGAAGCAGCAAGTCAAACCTTAGTGAAAACAGGTGAGAAGTTTCAATTTGCTTGGTGCAACTACTTCTGAGCTACGGTTGAGAGGTGTGCTTATACCATCAATCATGGACTATAAACCATGAATTAAGAACACCACATTCACCCTAGCCAGACGTGGTGGTGCATGTCTGTAGTCCTGCCAACTTGCAGGCTAGCCTGGGCTACAGAGACCTTGTCTCAAAAACAAAAGAATACCAAGTCAACATAATTTTTTTTTTTTTTTTTTTTCCGGAACCAGGATTGAACTCAGGCCCTTGAGTTTGCTGGGAAGTGCTTATTCCACTGAGCCATCTCCCTGGCCCCTGGCCCTTGTGTTTGCCAGGGAAGCGCTTATTCCACTGAGCCATCTACCCAGCCCCTCTCAACATAAAATTTCACTGGAGCTACATGATCGTACAACTTCAGCTTCCAACTCTTAGCAAATGTCATATGGGAGATGAAATTTGGGTCTGATTATGATCCTAAGACCAAGGTTCAAAGTTGTCAATGGAAATCAGTTCTCTTCATGTAAAGAAAGCTTGTCAGTAAGCTCCACCATCAAGATGGTACTTTCTGACCTTGATGGAAATGGGCGAGCAAAGTTTATACCCAGAAACACTACAGTGAACTGAGTATTTTAAAAGCTGAGAGAGAGAGAGAGAGAGAGAGAGAGAGAGAGAGAGAGAGAGCATTTTAAAAATAGTGGGGTGAAAACAACCCACGATTGGGTAGCTGGTTTCCTCCTCCATGACAAGGCCCCCATGTCATGTATCACTTCTAGAAGCACAATTTCTGTCAAGTAATACAGGTGTCTTCATCCACCTTATTCATTAGATCACACACCATGCATCCTCTGACTCTTCTCCTACGTCAAAATGACCATGAAAGGCCAAGTCTTTTTTTTTTTTTTTTTTTAACATTTATTTATTGTGCGTGTGTGTGTGGCCAGCTCAGCCCACCAGGGGGCGCGGCTGGCTGGCATGTGGTGCTGGAGGATCGAACCGCGGTCCCTGTGCTTTGCCAAGCTTGTTCCAAGTAGGTGCCCTAGACCACTGAACCATCTCTCCAGCCCCCCAAGTCTTACTTAATTCAGGTTATCAAGGCAGTCATGGGAACTCAACTAAAGACATGAAAGAGGATGTCTAGAGCTGCTTCAAAAGTAGCAAGAAGAGAGCTGATGTGGTGATACATACCTGTAGTCCCAGCACTCAGGAGGCTGAGGTACAATTGCTGTGAGTTCAAGGCCATCCTGGGCTATATAGTGAGACCTTGTCTCAAAAAAAAAGAGCAAGAACAATGGGCTGTGTATTCAAAGCAAGGAGGACTGGGCTGGTGAGATGGCTCAGTGGTCTAAAGCACCTACTTAGAACAAACTAAGCTAAGCAAAGCACAGGGACCGCGGTTCGATCCCCCAGCACCACATGCCAGCCAGCCCTGCCCCCTGGTGGGCTGAGCTGGCCACACACACACACAAAATAAATAAATTTAAAAAAAAACAAAGCAAGGAGGACTTTCTGAGGGGGATTCATGGCAATGTGTCTTGTGCTATAATATTTTTAATTAAAATATTCACCTATTTTTAATCACATTTCTTAACTTCTTTAAAACACTGCCACAAATTACCACTCTATGTGGAGGCTGGGCAGGGGACAACTGAGAATAGGGCCACTGGGGTGGAAGGTTTCCCAGTCTGTGACTCAATGCAGTAGCACTTTCGGTTGTTTGTTTTGGGGTTTTTTTTGGTGGTACCAGGGATTGAACTCAGGACCTTGTGCTTGCTGGGCAAGCACTTATTCTACTGCGCTATCTCCCCAGCCCCAAATTTTTATTTGGTTGTTTGTTTTTTGCAGTAGCACTTTCTAAAGTCCTCAGTTTGAGGGCTGTCCCACGGGGAACAATTAAAATTAACCACACACAAAACATAAGAAAAACTTACACCAAAAAAAAAAAAACAAAAACAAAAACAAAAACAAAAACCCACCTGATGCCAGATGGAGACACATGAACTGATAAAGAACTGTGACACAAAGAGAAAAGCTACACAGGACAGACCCAGAGAAGAACTCAAGAACTCAGCAGGGGTGGAAAAACCAAAGAAACAGGTAACCACAGAAATAGAGTCCAAGAACTAGGTTTATCTTCGTACAGGCGAGCGCTGTCTGTCTGAGGCCAACCGCTGAGAGCCCTTCCTAAGTCTCCCTCTCCTTCCGAGCCCACTTGCAAGCCTTACCAGTCACAACATCAGACTCATCCAGAAGCCACCATTTCTCACCACCCCAACTGCGGCCACCCTAGCCAACCCGCTGGCAGGGCAGGCCTTCCAATCTCCCTCCGCGTGCCTTCCAACGCCCCTCTTCCACACAGCCCGTCTGCACAGCAGCCTCACTAGAGCTCTATCAAGAGATGAATACTTACACACTTACTGTGTCTTTCCTACTGAAGTGTAAGCTCCACAAAAGGCACGGCCCTCTTTCCTTAGTGCTGTATTCCCAGAGACAAACAGTACTAACGGGTCGATATTCAGTTAGCACTACAAATATTTATTAAATAAACTAAGTGCTTATTAAACCATATGCTACCAACCTCTAAGAAATTCCTTCCCATGTTGCTTTTCATGTCTTCTGCCCTATGAGCTGTTTCTCCTCCATGATGCTCCTCTGCCTGCCAAGACATCAGCTTTGGTTTTTGTTTTTGGGGGTTTTTTTGCAGATTGAACTCAGGCCGTTGCACTTGTTAGGAAAGCACTTATTCTACTGAGCCATCTCCCTGGCCCAAGACATCAGCTTTGGAGCCAGCCAACTGGACTGAAGCCTCTGTAAATTTTTTTTTTTTTTTTTTTTTTTTTTGAGGAACTGGGGATTGAACTCAGGCCCTTGTGCTTGCCAGGCAAGTGCTTATTCTACTGAGCTATCTCCCTAGCCCCAACCTCTGTAAATTGTGAGCCAAATAAACCTTTTCCCTTTAAAAAAAAAAAGAAAAAGAAAAAGAAAAAAGAATGAATGAAAAAAGAAAGAACGAACGAACTTCATTGTGTGCTGACCTGTAACCTCCAGGAGGGAAGGATCTGTAAGTCATACTGTGAGGGGCACTACCTTGCTGTCACCTGTGGCTGGATCTACAATGCCTGTGACAGGAAATCCACAAATGCTCACTGTATGGATAAAGCAATGAATATAAAATAGGTCTGATGTCACATATGGTACTTAGAAGGTGCATACAGCTGACCTGTACACAACACAGCTGGCATAGGGATATTAAAAAATGGAAAAGGGCCAGCCAGATAGCTCCGTGGACTAAAGCACCTAGCGCAGCGGCCAGGGTTTGGTCCCCAGCGTGCCATGCCAGCCCCGCCCCCAGGGGCACGCTGAGAGGGTGACTGAGACTGGGCGTGGTAGCACGCCTGTAATCCCACCTCTTGGGAGGCTGAAAACAGGAGAATCACAAGTCCCATCAAAAGAAAAAAAGTCCCATCAAAAGTCAAAAGAAAACGTACTACTCAACATGAACCTAAATCAATTATGTGCCAGTCACAAGAAACACAGAGGGCTACAGTAATTCTTGTCTTCTCTATTATTCTGTGAAGAACTACAAGCAACTCAGATATGAGACAGTTGGTCTGCCAGGTATGTTTCATACAATAAACACTTGGAAGGCACAAAGCAAACAACCATCCTTATCTGAGGTCACAGGCAAGGAAAGAACTGTAAAACATATTTTAGTCAGGTGTGGCAGCACATGCCTATAATCCCAGCACTCGGGAGGCTGAGGCAAGAGGCTCACTGTGAGTCTGAAGCCAGCATGAACTCAGGCCAGCCTCAACTACACAGCAAGATCTTGTCTCAAAAGAAACAAACAAACAAACAAACAAACAAACATATTTTACTTAACCTGGATCTTATAAGAAACTTAAAATGTGAGAAAAAGCTCATTTAGAGATGAAGGCACAGTCTATGTGCATGGTGGTCACTACCAGTGAGGTAACAAAATACGGAGTCTGCTATGGACAGAGAAGAGTTACAAAGCACTTTAAGGACAGAGCCTGTGGTCCAGAAAGATCCCAGACCCACCTTCCAAGTCAGCCATTTCCCCAATATGATGTGACCACAAAAGGGGCTTAAATGTTAAAACATCAAGTAACAAAATCAGGGAGAGGAAGACAGCATATATTTATTCCTGGCAAGGTCTTAAAATGTACTCAGCAGCACTCCTTCCTCGGCACGGAGGAGGGAGGGGGCCTCGCAGCAGCTCCGCCGCAAGCTGTGCCGAGCAGGAGTTGTGCAGTCTTCCTCACAGGCAGTTACTGAGGTTCTGCACCCTAAGGCTCAAGGAAGAAAGAATCTCAGACACTGTTCCTCAATGAAACCATGACTTAAATCCTACCTCAAGATTCGACTATCTTTATTTTCTGATTACAAATATATATATGTATATATGTACATAAAGGGAAGGGATAAAAGAAAAAAGAAATTGCACTGTGCTGACACAGAGACTTGAAATTCTAACTAAGGGTCAACTGATGTTTAAAGGAAACTACTACATGGTCTCATCAAGGTATAGATGTTTAGTAAGTCTCACTTTAGCCTTAAAATGTATGGAAACACTTCTCCACAGAACTGGCCCCACAGCGGTCAGAATGCGCCAAGGCATGGGTCAGTAAGTCTGCAGAAATGAGTTCCCTCCGTGCCTGGTGTAAAGTAACAAGCAGCTCGCAGCTTAGCTCAGCAGTGGAATCGGGTCGAGAACTTGGGAGAGACAGGCACAGTCAGAGGCTGGTCACTTGACTTTATCTCCACAGACTGGTATTTGCGTATTGGATTTGCCTTGTGCACCTGCAGAACAAGGAAAATAAAGTTATTACTGAGAGTGATGTGACAGAACTAATAGGTGTAGTAGTTTTGTTTTGCTGTATTATAGAACTTGGACCTTTATTTTTATTTTTTATTTTTTAAATTTTGAAACAGGGTCTCAAATGAGGCTGCTAAGCTGACTAGGCTGGGTTTGAACTAGTGATTCTCAGATCCTCCTCTCAGAAAGCTGGGATTATAGAAGTGCACCATCGCAACTAGCTTTTTTTTTTTTTTTTTTAAGAGAAAATGGTTGTGAAGCTTTACAGGTATCAGTTATGATCCTAAAGGGAAGGGGAAAGAGAGGAATAAAATGAGAAAGTACAAGAGCTTTTGGGGAGCAATAGGTTTCTATTAGGTATTTGCAGGGTCCCTCACGAAGAAGGCCAAACTTAATTCCTGTGTGACTTACTAGGGCAGTGACGGCAGGCTTTTAGAGCTTTCAATGATAGCAAACAGCCTACCGCGGCAGGCATGCCATAATTTCACCACCACTGTACTGGTGTTTAATGAATGACACATACTCAATTGCACAGAGAAGAGTTACAAGTTAAGAATCAGTCAGAGCACAATCTTAAACTTACTGACTCTTTCACTACTTCTCTTTTTTTTTTTTTCTTTGTGGTTGAGGATTGAACTCAAGATCTTCACACTACATCTCCAGCCCCCCTTTTATGTTTTAAGTATCTAAACTGCTTGGGCTGTCCTCAAGCTTGTAACCCTCCTGCCTCATCCTCCTGAATAACTGACAGTACAGCATACCTCATCACATCCCTACTGACTCTCAATATTCACAAACACATGAACCTAAAGAAGAACAAAATGTAAAACCCAACAACACACAGGGTTGGTGCAGGAGCCAGGGGCTCGATCCCCCGGCCAGCTATGCTGGCCCTGCCCCAGGGCACGCTGAGACATCGATTGAGACTGGGTGTGGTGCCGTGCACCTGTAATCCCAGCTCTTGGGAGGCTGTTTAAGAGGCGAATCACTAGGAGTCTGATCTAGTAGTGAGACCAAAAACAACAACAACAACAACAAAAAAAAACCCACAGGGTTTTCAGAGAAGACTTGGTCCCATCTATCATCCTGGATGGTTTAAGATCAACCCTGAATCAAGCTAGATTAGTAGAGGCAACTAACATTGTGCTTTAGAATACTGTTATGAGCCTATATTGAGAGCTGCTACAATAAACAGTTCTAGAATGAGGACAAATGCAAAAGGCAGGTACCTAGTGATGAAGAAAAACTAGGTAAACTGGAGCTAGTTTTACATATAAAGTGGGGATTGCATTATTTACTCATTTAATCAGCAGTTGCTAGCTTGATGTTTGCGAGAGGCTGATCTCCCCAGTAGCTTTTCCTAGAAGCCTGCCTATAGGCAAGTCCACCTAAGCCAAGAGCTGCTCCAGCAGCCAACCTGAGTGCTTTTGTTTTGTTTTGTTCTGCTCTTTTGGTGGTGCCGAGCCTGGAGCCTCACATATGGCAATCAACTGTTCTACCGCTGAGCCTACGTTAGCATTTTAGACAAAACATATGCTGCTGTAGTCATTCACTTACTAATCATATGAAGTTTCACCTAAAAGCCTCTTTTGTCATATGCAGTTATCACAACTTGCTGTCCTCCCAACAAAGGGCTTTTTGGCTAGCTACTACTTAGGTCATTATACTAGTGTTAGCATGAGAACCAGTGAGGCCAACAGATACTGTAACTCCATGGAATTGGAGCCAAGAATAAGGAGGGGGAAAAGGAAAGGACAGCTGCCTCATAATCCCTATATACCCTGCCTTACACCCTGTACTGTACATTCTTGTCTAATTATAAAATACATTGGTTCTTAATCTCAGAATAAAATAAATAACAAAGAGTCCTAGGAAATGCATCACCGCATGTGGCTACCACACGATACCCTTCTCATGCAGATCTCTGGAAAACTTCTGCCCAAATTCAGTATCAAGGATAAATGTATATCTGAACATGGTGTTATGTCTCACAACTGACAGGCTGGCTCCTCAACATCCAGAATCATGGCTCCTCCTTAGATCCCCACGCACTCAGCCTCTGCTTCCTGCCCAGCTAACCTCCTGCTGCCCTCAGTGGGAATGACATCTTCCACGCACCTGCCTCAGGTGCTGCCTTACAAGCTACTGCAGAGCCTGTCTAGGATGAGGCATGGTGAGAAAAACAAGAGAGACAACCCCGCCCTGGTCAGCGCTCGTGAGGTCCTGTTACCAGCTCCTTCCGCAGTCTGGCCAGCTCCTCCTTCTTCTGTTCCTCTTCCTGCTTCCTGGCCTCCTCCAGCTGCTGGGCTTTCTGGGCTTCCACCTCTGCCATTCTCTTCTCCAGCTCCTGTCGCTCCTTGGCTCTCTTCTCAGTGGCCAACTGCAAAGGCTCCTGAACTAGAGAACCAGAAAGGCCCTCTGAGTTCAGAAACAGAGAAAACACTAGTACACGAGCAGCAATTCCATTAGCTGAGCCCCAGCCCAACCCTGGATTGACCTAAGTGGCAGAGCCATGGAAGGCAAGGAAAGGCTGAGCTCTCAGGAAGCCCCGCTAGAAAGAGGTAGAGTCAGAATCTCAACAGTTGAAGAGCCCCTGGAAAAATTCAACATAAATGGAAGAGTAAGACCCCGAGGTAAAGTATCTTGCTCAAAACCACAGTGATTTAAAAATAGACATAAAAGAATCCTAACCTTTAACCAACACTGCCCAGTGCCTAAGGAATCAAATGTTTTGTATCTCAGGCTTGCTTCAGGGCCAACTCCAAAAACACCTCCCAGTTCTCTCTCATCACTCACTCTTCAGGTGAGGGAAGCTGATTACAGCAGGTGAAGAGCCAGCCGGTTATGCTGAGGCCCAGGTTATAGCAATCTGGACACAATGCATTTGCTAACTCAACAGAGCCACTACGGTTAAAGACAGCAAAAAGCTAGGGCTAGGGTACAGAAAAGCTACGGTCTTCTAAAGCCATACCCTTCTGGCTTACATGGCACTGTGCTCAAACAACTGAGCCCTGTGTTCCCCAGGGAGGCTGACAATTCCGCCCTCACCCCTATGAAAGTACAGAAAATACTAACAGCAACTGATTTTTTCTCTTTCTTGGGAACAAAGGGCTCCTGGGAAGTGACCGTGTTTGGACGAGCCTTGAAGCAAGCTGCTTCTTTCTGCTGT